ATAATTTATAAAGCTTAAATAAATTATTAGTTGCCCCCCATATTTGACTTCATATAACTTTCTTGAATTCAACTCCCTTATTACTAATTTTTCCAATTTGCAAATCTAACTAATTTGATAAAGACAGCCACAGCCCATAGCAAGTTCTATTTGACTCACTCATTTTTTTAAAATAAAATAAATTAGTAGTATATGTAATTGAAAAATACTTATTATCCTAAAATTTCACTTATGAAATTTAAAACTATAAAATAATACTAATTATTTTTACAAGACATGACTGAAAATTGATCTGCTATCGATGTTTTTTTAATAACAAATTGTTCAATAGATATTATTTGGATTGTCATTAAATTTTAGTATAGTGACTACTTTTTTTTCTTCTTTGAAGTGAATGCTAAAAACGGTTCATGAACGCAATTTCTATAGTAAACTCTATCATTATCATAAAGTTTTACTTGTAAGAATTTGAAATTTAATGATACTAATTTTTTTCAAAGTCAATGTTAAAAAGTGATAAATAAATGCTATTTCTATATTATATTGTCCACTAGGTATCTAGGAATTATAGATATAATGATAAACACATGACACATCTTTTTTATAATGATTTTAATTTAAATAGAGGTGATATTAGATAAAATATTTAATTTAAGCTTATTACCGATAATTACTTGTGAGTTACAAATAATGTTTATATGATCTGATTGTGTAAAGATTATTTATATTTTTGATAAACTTAGTAAATTCTTTTCTAAAATCAAAGAAAAATTTAGAAGATATTTTCTAAAATCCTTTTTTTTTTAAAGATATTTTTTTGAAATCCTTTTAGTTATTTAAATCCCTATCTTCAACTTGTTCTTTTTGGGACCTACATACAACAATTTGATCTTTCTCATTTATGAAAAAAGGGATGTGGTGGGGTTAGAAAAAGTGACTATTGTTTTTTCAAATAATACTTTTTGAAAGTACTTTTATCAAACAATAGAAAATGATAAAATGATCACTTATATTTTGAAATTATGTTTAAAATAACTTCATAGGTATATTCTGAACAGTTTTAGTCCTTAAATTTGTTTAAATACGTTTCTTTTGTATTGTCAATATTTATTACTTATTAAACGTTGATTGTTAGATTTTGAAAAAACAATTAACATGATCAAATAATGTGATGACCCGGAAGGTCATTTTTGAAAATTTTGAACTATTCGTTTAACTTGAGTTTATTAATCTATAGTTAGTGAGCTAAAGTGATCATTTATTTAAGACCCTATACCTTTAGGGCTATGTGTTAAAAATAGGTTAGTGGGAGTTATTAGTTTTAATACATAATTAATTTAGAAAAAAATAAAATAAAATAAAGAGGAGCAAAAAGAAAACTAACCTGCGGCGTGCGTTGAGGGAAGTACGATACTCAATTCTGTGGATGAAAATTTCTGCTGTTTAATTGCATAGGAAATCAATATATAGATATTATGTTATTAAGTTGCAATTCTTTCAATTAAATTATCATTACAAGTGGGTATTGAATGCATTGGATCTTCTGCTATATTGTTGGTTTTCAAATTGATGGGCAAATAATTATGGGTTATTGTTGACAAATTTTAGTGGAAGTAACCAATCGTTATTATTATTATATTAGTATAATGGTTGTATTAGATTGAAGGGGGGCAGTGGTGAATTCTTGGCGGCTTAGAAATTTAGGGGACAAGAAACGGTGCTAATATTATTGAAATATATTCTTTTTGTTTGTTGTCAATTTATGGGGAGGAAGGGAGTTGAATTGTTAGGAGTATATATATATAATTATTTTCCATACATGCTATCTCCAGTTTCAAGTAGTAAGTTGAATGCTCACTAAAGGAGTTAGATTATTACTCTATATATGTTAAGGCATAATTGATTTCTTGGGGAAAGAATAATGTCATTGTTGTACACTTGGTGGGTTTTGAAAATTGTGAGGATGAAGTTATGATTACATATTATAAATTTAGGAACCTGCAGGCGACATATTAATGTCTTGATTTTATCGATTCCCACCACTGGTTTCATAACCAGTGGTTCCGAAAATTAGTAATTCTTATGTTATTATCACATTGTAATTTTAATTTTGATATATTAAAATAGGTAATTAAATATTAGGTATATCGTATTTTTGTGAATGTCATTAGATTTATGATAATTGAAGGAGTTGGAAGAATTGACAAGTTAATGGGCATCAAGACTTGGGAACTTAATTATAAATTTGGGGTAAGCTTAGTGTTGTTAGTTTCGGAATCTTATTGTGACTATGTATTTGAATAGATTGCATTGATTTGGAAGCTCAACAAAAAGGGAAGGCTCAAGTCTAGGAGTGATTGTTCGGTTATTTGAGGCAAGTGGATTTCTAAACCCTTATTAAGCGTATGGAATTCGTGTATTTCCTTGTTGTATATGTTTGGGAGTAATGTGATCAATTGTTTGTGTGATGTGTTGAGAATTGTTTGAAAGACTTGTTGAATCATTGTTGAAGTTGTATCATGATTGTGTTGTTGTGAATTGTGCAATGTTATGAAAATGGTCATCTCCTAATTATTTGTGTGTACATGTCATTTGCATTGTTCTGAGACATGGTTGTGACAAGTGTTATGTGCATTGAGAAAGAATAAGAAATTAAAGAGGATGTATCATTTCGAGGGACGTATCGCGCGCTGCGATGGATACTATATTTCGAGGGACGTGTCACGCGCCGCGACGGATATTATATTTCGAGGGACGTATCGCGCGCCGCGATGGATGCATGGACAGATATGTCCCCCATGGGTCTCGGACTGAGAGACAGCGGGTGTGTATCATTAGGTCAGACATGCATCACTATACTTGACATTGCATTTCATTGCATTGCATTATTTTTATTATTGATGAACTTGATCTTGTGTGTTGCTGATCTTGTGAGTGCCTTTTCTGTGAAACTTGTTATTGATGAATATTGAGTTGTTATTAAGAATATATAATCTGTTAGAGTGCTGTTGTTGAGCTGTATGCTTTGTAAACTGTGAATTGTTAGGTTGGGTTGGTTTTATGCAGGTTGTAGCTATGGAGGTTAGGATGGGGTGTAAGGAGTACCCGTATTCTATACCCTTAGCTTGTGTTTAGAGGTTTGCTTGTTGAGTACCGTGTGGTTTGGTACTCACCCCTTGCTTCTACAATCTTTTGTAGGTTACGAGCCTGGATCTTCGTGATACCTTCCATTCTCTTCGTTTCCAAGGCTTTCTGTGGAGATCTGAGAGGTAGCTGTTTGTCATCTCAGCGAACCTTCTTACTCATGTTTATGATTTTGTTTTTACTTGAAAGACAACATCATTTGAGACTTGCGTATTTTATTTCAATTCTAGTATTTACATTAGAGGCTTGTGCACGTGACAACCAGGTTTTGGGGATTGAATTAAGTTGACTTGTTTTCGTAATAGTAATTGTTATTGAACTTTGCTTTATTTCCGCACTTTATAGAAATGATTGGGTTTTAGGCTGACTTGTCTTGGTGGGATACGACGAGTGCCATCACATCCATTTTTGGGTCGTGACAAATAGTGTTTTCATAATTCTAATTAAATTTAGGGACAAATTTAATACAGTAAATAATTTATCAAACATTTAGAAAATACTATCTTTTTTACATAAGTAAATAATTGAAATTGCTAAAAAATATACATATCGAACTGTTTAGACATACTTTACATTGAATACATGTGTCTACTTATTTAACTAATTTATACAAGTTGTAAAATATCTGCTTATTCACACAAAAAAATGAAAGTTATAGATGTTTGTTGATGTTAAATTAAAGAGCGTGTTTATATACTATGTTTTTTTTTAAATTTCTGTTACTTTAATGATAAACATAATCATTTTTTTATTACAGGATCTTTTACAAGGAAAAATAGATTTTATAGAAGCTATAAAACTAATTATTTTTGCAAATTTATTGGCCCTTGGATAAAATTAAAACATGAATGATTTCCATATGCAAATATCTAAATCATTTTACACGTAGATATGTGAATATTTTGAAGAAAAATAAAAGGATAAAGACTTTGACGTGTGATGAGTTAGCCACCTTTGACTAGGCATTTTTATGTCATTATAAAGATATATTATCAAAATTAATGGAACTATCTATATCTATATAAAATCAATCAAACTAATAAAGATAATTGTACATACTAAATTATAGATTTAAAAAAAAACATACTAAATTATAGGATCTTCTTTTTTATTTTCCATTCCCTCACAGATTTATGACATATTCTTCGATATATACGGATTCTTATCTTTTTAAGTAATGCATATATAAATTAGATCGCAATCATTATTTTCAGAATTAGAAAAACTCTAATGTTGTTCATAATTAGATGTTCTTTCAACCTTTCCTCCGATAGCATAATATCCCTCTTCTATCTACGAAGCCTTACATAAGTTAAGTTTGATATTTATTTATTTTGTTGATAGCTAACTTCAATTTTGAAAAAAAATACTCTGAATTATACACAGCTAAATAATTGCAAAATCAACATAGTTTAAATTTTCTTAAAATAATCAATCGAATTAAACCATAAGACTCAAAAAAACAACTCATTAACACTTAGATAAGAAAATATACAGTAACAACATATTTAGTATAATTCGATAAAATTAAACATACACTTACGCGAAAATCATTATACCTTTAACATATTTGTCCTCTTTCAAAAATGCTAACGCGCAACCTTACATTTTTTTCCGCTTTCTAAATGATTTTCATATGCCAAATAATTCACACGTAGATATTTATACCATATACATTTTTGTGAAATAAATTGGATAAAGACGTACGTGTGATAAGAATGCCGGTTTTGACTAGGCATTTCTTTTTTCTATTTTAATTTTTAATAATATTATTTTAAACTTTAGAAAACACGTTATCGTGATCCTTTAGGTGTGTACAGAGTAAATTTCGATTAGATTATATTACATATAAAATCCCTATATAAAACCTTCATTCAAACTCCAAAAACTTGCAATATCTTCTTTTATTTTGAAATATCACAAACTATATAGTCTCATGTCATCTTGTTCCACCACCACTATCATGGCGGAGGACGACGGCGGAAGGACGGCGATCACTGCCGTCCATCCCGACATCATACAAACTTTGATTTTAACGAAACTCGACGGCCCAACTCTTATGTCCGCCAGTTTCGCTTCTTTGCAGCTGCAAAATCTTTGCTCCGACGATGAACTTTGGCGAAAATTTTGTAACTCTTCTTGGCCTTCTACTTCCGACCCACTTATCAAAAACGCTGTTGCAGCCTTTCCCTCCGGTCACCGTTCACTTTTTTCCGATTCCTTTCCGTCCATAACCCACAACGAGCCAAAACCCATTACTGGAAACAACTCAAAGCAGTATTTCCCGTCGCCGGAGTTGATATCGGCGGTCGATATTCACTTTGAGGGAAATTTATTGTACTCGAAAGTGTTGACTAACGAGACGGAAAGCGGGTGGTTCATGAGTTCGCCATTCAGAATTGAGCTATTGGGTCATAAGGAAATTGTTCCGACGCCGGTGAAATTCGACGGCGAGGATGGAAATCGTAAATTGGAGTTACAGAAGATGAAATTGAGCTGGATTTTAATTGACCCATCGAGGAATCGAGCTGTGAATGTATCGAGTTTGAACCCGGTATCGGTCCAACGACATTGGTTAACCGGAGAATTGAAAGTTCGGTATTCGACGGTGATGGGTTCCGGCGCCGGCGAAGGGTTGGTTCAGTGCGGGATAGTTGTCACGTGCGAAGGTAAAGAAGGAGGCGAATTGCACGTGCGAGAAGTAAGCATGCAAATAGAGGATATGGATGGGAAAGTTTTGTGTGGGAAGGATAGTTTGGTCATTTTACAAGAAGTTATTGAAGGAGGAAGAAAAAAAAGAAAAGAAAATGAAGAAAAAGAAAATTATGAGAATTTTTTGGAATTAAAGAAAAAATGGAAGGAAAATAAACAAAAGAAAGAAAAAAATTTGGATATGATGTGTATAGCAAGTGGAATTACAATTTTAATTTCTTTTTGGAGTTTAATTGTGTTTGGTTCAAGAAGTAATGGTAGTTATTTTAGTTAGAAATATGGTGGGAAAAAAGAATGATAATTTATTATTATTTCATTTTATTAATTTTTTTCTCAATAAAAAGGAAAAGGCAATTTTATATACATAATAATGGTATATTGCATGGCAAATCTTCTCTTAGGTTATGTTAATATGGTTTTTTGTTTTTATTTCCTTGATAAATGGTTTAGAAATAGAGTTTACTAATCACTTTTTAGTTATATTTTTGAGAGATCAGTATTGTCGCAGAGTTTCAAATTTTACAGGTGAAACTTCAGGATAATTACCTTTTTTGCTTTTAATTCCTTGATATATAATCTAGACATAACTAGCACTTACTGACCAATTTCGATCATGTCTTCGAAAATTATTAATATTATGAAATTTCAAATTAAATAATTGTGATTATTTTTTAATTGTTCAAATGAGTAGGATGCAAATTACCTAGTGTTAAAGTCAAAAGTTCGATCTTATTTGATTTTTATCACACTCCATTAACTATTAGAATGTACTTTTGGATGCTAATAGACATGTTGTTCATTGACTATTTAAGGCATACCTTTTGAGTGCTAATAAACATATTTGAAAAAAAAGTGATTCTTTAATCCTTGAAAATAATTAGGAGCCAAACTTTAATTTTATTAAGTATATGATAAACAAGTGTACGATTCAGGGTAATAACTCATAAATTACATAAAAGATATAAATTATATTGAATAAATTTCCGTGTGACAAACTCGAAATCAATATGTCTAAGATCTCCCTTTAAAAGATTTCCGCTCAATTATATAAGAACAAGTCTAAGCTCTTTATACAATTTTTTGTCTTTTTCTCATATAAAAAAATGTAAGCAAAACAGGCCTTAAGTGTTTTATTTATTTGTTATTATTCGAGTTTAAGCCTTGATAATGAAAAATTTCTTGATAAGAATATTTTACTCTCGTCCCCTCTAGTGGATTCAATATGAATTCGAATTAGTGATTAACAATTTCAAAATACAAAGGTTTTCCTCTTCTTCTTTTTTCCAAAGATTTTTGTGACTATTTTAGCAATCTGGTCAGCATTAAATTTATTAGAAAATGGGGTTAATAGCCTATTAATTATTAGTAAAAATTAGGCAAATGACATAGTATAAGAAATAAATTACTTCCTTTCCCTACTCTTTCATTAATTACCAAAAATCCCTTTTTTTAGTGTTTTTCGGATACATAATATAGCAGTGTGGATACTTTATATAGCAGCGCGAATACTTTAATTATTAACGGACGGATACTTAAATTATTAAGTTGTTAGCAGCACGGATGCATAATATAGCAGTGCGGATACTTTAATTAATAACGGGCGAATACTTTAATTATTAAGTTGTTAGCAGCACGGATACTTAATTAACGGGCGGATACTTTAATTAATAACGGGCGGATACTTAAACTAATGAAGTATCCGGTTAAGTTGAATTGGGGAAAAATAATGGATTTTTGTATTTTAGTAAAAAAATAGGGAAATATTGAAAATAGGTAAATAAGTGTTGTGTATTTAAGTAATTTTTCCTAATTAATAACCTAATATAATATCTAACCTATATATATAGTCCACATATTTTTAAAAGTACTTTAAGTTGGCTGCCCAATGTGATTGACTTTTACACAACGACTTTCTTCTCACACATCTAGAAAGAAGATTTAAGAGTGTTATTTATTTGACGTTTGATATTTATTTTGTTATTCGATTTATTTGGATTTTGAAATTTGTTTCATTTGATGTTTGATGTTTATTTTAAGATTTTAAATTAATTTAAATTCACATTGTGTAATGCTCAATAAATGTAATGTCATTCTCTATTTGGATTTTTTCATTCATACAACTCGAATTTGAGACCACTAATTAAGGATAAATGAATCATATTCACCTCACCACAATTTTTGATAAAATAAAATATAAGAAAATAATTCATTTTATGAAAAAATATTCTATATATATTTTTTCATTATATGGACATAGAAGTAACGAAAATTGAACTGTTCAATTTGGAAGGGCATGACTTCAAAATACTCAACACCAATTGAACATTAAATATAATTAGCGACGAATTTTACAAGTTAAGCCATAAAAATTGTTTGTCACTAATTTTTGTTCTTTTTTCTATCTCTTGTTATTTCAAATAGAGGTGGACCTCGTATTTGTTTATTTGATATATAACTTCACAAAAAATCAATAATTTTTGTCTGATAAATACATATTATGATATTAATATCTAGTTGTGTATCTAATTATTTTTATAAAATAACTTAAAATTGTGATAGAAATTCATAAATTTTAAATCGTGAATCGGACTCCAATTTCAAACATGTCCGAATTGTGACATTTTAGTCATAGTGCAGAAAAAAAAGGAGATTAGAGGCTGCCCCTAACTTTATTTATACACATAAATAGCTGTAATTCTTTAACTTTGTGTTTAAATAAAGGATGATAATTTATTAATTACTAGCTAGTGGATTTAAGTTATATATATTAATACTATAATACCCAAATGAAATTTAGCCCAAATGGGTAGTCTATTAAGTGTTTTAATCAAAGAAATAAACATGATGGTTAACATTTTTAATTTATCCTAGAAATATTTCTTTAAATTTTTTATTTATTTGTATGGGCCTCTTGCTATCAAAAGAGAAGTCAAGAGGGCCCAAGAAGCCCACTTGTGTAAGTAACTCTTGGGCCTCTTGCTAAGAAACCAATTATGTATGAAACTTGGAAAATTATTTGTAAATTTATACTTTTAGTATTAAACTCGAACCATGGAAATAGTCTCTTACATAAGTATAAGGTAAGATTGTCAACAATATGTTTTACTATGGTCCACCTTTTCTTAGACTCCGTGCATAGTGACAGTTTTGTGTATCGAACAACATTTTTATTAAGCTAAGCAAAAATATTATATGTATCTATTAGGCTATTTCCTGCTTTTAAACCTTTTGCATAGGCTAACACACGGATTAACATTCAATAATCCAAAAGGTTTTCACTTCTCTACGTCTTCACTCGTGATTGCTTAAAATCTCCTTTCATCAATAGGTGTTCTCAAAGCATCGACTAGACACCCTAATATAGCCTTTTTAATGCATATATCCGTAATAAGTTTAGTGCGCTTGGTAAAATTTCGATTTATTCCAAAATATTATAATAACTTGTGTTGAATAGTATACAACACATTGTGTTAAGCTAATGCATTTTGGTGAAATGGAAAAAGAAAAGTTATGCCTTGATACCCTTTACTTGAGAAAAATGACTTGGGGGGAAAATAGATATAACTTAAAGTTAAAATATATACGGATATACATATACTATATATTCGTCGATTATTTTTAGTTTAAGAATTGACGAAAAAAGTACTATAAAAAATTGAGAGTTCTGATAGTTTAGTGCACCATATCTGTTTCTTAATCTATATCAGTAGTGCTAATATTATTTTCATTGTGTTTTGTCCTTCGATTTTTATTATTAATATTATTTTTCGTGCTTCAGTTATCACATAATTAGTTTGTTCATATTGTTCCTTTTTTGTTGTTGTTAAATATCATATAATGTTTTTTAAAAATTATTTTAACACGCGTTATTTGAATTAAAGATCTTTTGAAAATAACTCTTCTATTTCTATAGAATAAAAATAAGATCTTCGTATACTCTGTTCTCGTCGATCCACACTTGAAATTTCAAGTACGAACTCCTGACAAAATTTACAAATTATGAAGTTGTCATTTATAGTCATTGACTATGTAGGATTAGTCTAAAATTTAGTGTGGTCCATTTTGTAATAAATAAATAAATATGCTAACTTGATTTAGTACTACAAAAGTAGCATTGCTAATTGATTAATGTGGTCCATTTTGGTTGAAAAAAAAAAGAAAAAGAAGAAGAAGCTTTGATTAAAAACCAAAACAAATAAATCAAAGGAAATGATACAAAACAATCAAAATAATTTGAATAAAAAACAATTTATTAAAGATCTAATGTGTGGATCGAATAATCAATTAAATGATTGTTCATCCCAATCGCTTAAATTAAAAACAATATATATATATATATATATATATATATATATATATATATATATATATATAGTGAATTCGCCGTCTTGTCATAATAAAAAATATGAACTAATAGCATTTTTGGCCCCTCATGTATTGATATATTTTGATTTCAATTATGATATCTAATTAAGTACATTAAATCTTTAATCAATTGTATTATGCATTTTTTATTCTTTTACTTGTGAATATTCATAAATTTTTCATAATTATTAATTATTTCACTACTTAATTATTCACATGTTTTGTTATGTTTGTACTACTATTACTCCATATTTGATGATAATAATAGTTTTATAAATACTCAGATATAACATATTTTCTTACGTTAAGAGACCAAACACATAGTTTAATTAATTAAAACTTAAATATGATAAAACATATATTACAAAGATCAAAATATAATTTACCAATAATTTTGAAATAAAAATATTATATTTTATGAAACTAATTATATATAACTAAAATAACATTTATAATAACTGTCGAACCTACAAATGCACGGACGTAGGGAACTTAAAATAATTTTAGTCATGATAGATTGGTACTTTTAATTAAAAGAGACTGTCTAGTTAAAAGGGTATTTTTAACAATTATTCACTTTGTTTCATATTTGGTGTCAATTTGAAAAGACTCGTAAATAATTTAATAAATATATAAAAAGAACATAAGTTATGCTTGACCAGATATAACTTGTGAACAAGCCACAATTTGTCAATCTGACAGGATATTATACAGAATAATATTGTATCAAAATTATGTCTTGCGTAACATAACTTGTGAAAACATAATTTTCTATTATTATTATTATTTTTTGAGTGTGTAGCATTGGGGTTTTTTTTTGCACAATTTTTAAAAATGAGATCAAAGTTTAAATAATAGGAAATGATTAAAAGCAACAATCACTATCTTTCGTAAATACACAAACTATACTGT